TTTCGATATAGAAATGGTCGTCTATATGTTGGCTGCTAATTAATTTTCCATGGGTATAAATCATGCCATTAAATTTTGCTGTAGGTGTTCAAGGATTGTACCTCTATTTCGTAATAGCAGGAGTTTTCATCGTTTGCTTTAAAAGAGAAACATGGGCTATGACAGATTTGTATCAAACGCCTCAAGCATGGCCATCTCGCTACTAGAGGAGGCGAAGTCCTACAAACCACTATTTAGCGCCTAAGGCCCCAGTTTTAATTGTTTACGTACATAGCGCGCATGGTCCGGCCGATCTTAGGGTATATCAACTTCGCTGTTGCTTCTGCTCGGGTTTTTGTTCTATTTTTTATTTTCCATTTTTGACTTTTTCAATCTAAAAAATAAATGTCAAAGTTTTTTAATTCCATGATTGTTTTTAATATTTCTAAATATGTTTCGTATTTTTGAATATTTTTCAAATACATGTGCATTTTCAAATATCTGCGATCATTTTCCAAATTTGTGGATATTTTAAAATTTAAAAACTAATAGCTTGTTTCCCCGACATCACAGCAGGACCAGAAAAACAAAACGCGGGCAAGAAAAAAAAAGAAATCAAGGGCAAGCTAAAAGGGAAGGCGGTTGAGTGAGTCAACCACTCTTCTTGCCTAGGGCACGAATCTGTGCTATAAGAGCATCTACGGACGCACGCTCTAAATCCGCCTCAAATGTCCGGACGAATGGCCCGGTCACTGACCGATCATAAAAAAATAAATTCAGATGTGCTCCTTAAACGGGCCTCAAACGTCCGGACTGACTGGCACCCCCTCATATCCAGTACAAATATGGGCGAATATGGGGTTGCCCGGGCGCGTCCGCCATGTCGGACCCGCCAACCCGACCCTACCACAATCCACCATAATTTGCACCAAATCCACCTAACCCTTCCTCCTCCTCCAGCCTCCCTCCTGTCTTTCCCGCGCCCAAGCACTCACCATCCACCACTCTTGCTCCCCATCCTCACCACCGGTCCCAATCCGCCACCATGGATGTAATCCAGTTCGTCCCCGACCGCCACGACGGCGACTGCGTCCGCCTCGTCCATCGATGTCCCTTCCTTGACTTCGTCGTGCAAGCCAGAGATAATTGCCCGGATGATGTGGCAACGCTGGCAGCGAGAGAGAGAAGCGGATGCAGCGTCGCAAGAAGTTGCGGTCATGAAGAGCAGTAGCCCCCCCCCCTCCCCTCGCCGCGGTCGGAACCCCACACCCAGTCCATCCTTCTGCCGACGTGGATTGCACCGTCGGACCACATAGGGACACAGGAGGATCCGATGGCTGGCGGTGGACTTATACAACCTGACGCGGCTTGTTCGGGCACGGATTTGCACGGGCAGCAGTGTCGCCTGGGCTGCACACAACATGTTCGACGGATTGACATTACAAGAAACAATATGATTTTTTGCTCCTGTCCGACCAACTTTGCATATGGCATGTTCAATGTTTTGCATAGACCGCTAGTTCATTTCGTATATGATGAATGCTTGCAAACTACGATCATTTAGGAGGCTTTCATGGCGGACATGATCAATGGCGATAAAGGTCCGACCCAAATGGAGTACGATTTGGGGGGGGGGGGGATATTTGAAATTTGGACAACATTCGATCCCAAACCGAGCAAGAAGGAAAAGACGCCGAAGGCAAGAGGCCCGGCATTCTCATCTTTCGAGGACATCTCGTTGGTCTGAGATTGGTTGGTCACAACAATGGGTCCAATATCTGGCATAGAGCACAAGGGGATCAAGTATTGGGAGAAGATTTGGAAGGAGTGTCACGACCAAAAGGAATATGGGGAGGCGCACCCGATCATGACCAACAACAAGGTGGCATCTCTCCAACATCGATGGGGCATCATTCAAGAGGAAGTGAACAAGTACGTCGCTACTACTCACAATTGACCAAACGCCCTCAAAGTGGGATGGGAGTGGCAATTCACATAAGCTCAATTGCTTCATCTTATCATCATTTGCATATTCTTCTTATGTTTGCATTTTCGTGCTCATACATATGTTGTTTGCTAGAAGGCGGTGGCGGTCACTTTATATCATGAAATTGAGAGGAAATCGTTTGTTTTTAGCCGTTGTTGGATCATATTGAATGGAGTGCCAAAGTGGGCACAACCTGTGACCGATCTCGAGGCCGACAAGAAGATGAATGATGGCTCAAGCTCCCACCAATCAACTGGGTTGGACGATGAAGAGGAAGATATTTCCTTGGGAATGGACGAGCCACCGTGCCAAAGGATAACCGGCGACTCATGGGAAACAAGTGGGAGAAGGCAAGGGCCTCCTCTTATGCCGAGGCTACAAAAATTTCCTCCACATGGACGGGCATTTTTCGGTGAACAAGAACAAGAAAGAGGAGAGGTACAAGCTCATGTTGGATGTGCGAAAGGAGAGTGGATTGGGACCGGAAGAGGGCAGAGAAGAAACTGAAAATTGAGAAGGAGAAGATCGAGTTGGACAAGCAAGAGACGGTGATCAAATGGGAGCTCGAGAAGGCCAAGATATTTTGAGAGATTGAGCTTGAAAAAGATAGGTTAAAACTCGCACGAAACATGGAGGATGCCAAGATCATGTTGGCGGACGACACACTCTTGGATGAGCATGCAAAGAAATGGCTTGCAGAGAAGAAGAAGGAGATCAATGAGCGTAGAGAGTACGAGGTGCAGAGGGCGGCAGTGGAGCATGCGGCAAGGATGCAGGCGGAGCATGCAGCCCGGATACAGGCGGAGCAGGACGCAAGGATGGCCTTGGAGCAGGCGGAATGGATGGCGTCCAGCCAGTAATCCGGCCAGCAAGCAAGGCATCCTATACGCTCGGACATTGATTTCATTTTGACATGTCCGGAATGTTGAACTATGATTTGCTTTGCTTTGTTTCAAACTGTTGAATTTGGACAATTTGTAACCTACATGGATTGTGGTATCCTATACGCTCGAACACTGATTTCATTTTGACATGTCCGGAATGTCCGCACATGGATTGCATGGATTTAAAGATCCGCATTTGAGATATGTGGATGCGTGGCTGCCCTTATGAGGGGCTGGCACGCGCTGTCCGCGGACGCGCCCAACGTGGCTTAGAAGAAAAATGGCTCCTGCTCGCTCCCATTAAAGCACAGGTTCACTGAAAAAACGCTTCCATTTTCTAAAATATTTGAAAATGTAATTTTGAAATAAAAAATATTCTAAATATTATAATTTGTAAAATAAAAAGTTTCAAAAAAAACATGAAGTTGCAAAATTATTTGTAGATTTATAAAATGTTTAGGAATTTAAAACAATGTAAGTGCATGAATCTAACTTTTTGGCGGAATACCAAAATAATCAAGAATAAAATAATGTTTTATTTTTTAAAATGTTTGCACATTCAAAAACATCCTGAAATAAAAAAAAATATGCCTACAAGAAGTTTTGAAGAGTTCAAGTGTAATTCCAACTTGATGAAGTTGTGATTAACCAAGAGTGTTAACCTCCTATACTTGGTATCACGTATGACAGCAGGGCCATCGATGAATCTATCAGGAGATTAGTCTAGAAAGTTAGTTTGCTGGCTCTATACATATCTTGTCAATCATAGCAATCTTCTCTCTAGTTTCCTTGTGTCACAAGATGTAATTTCAACCAACTATGTATGCGCATCACAGATAAGCCCCTGCCTATAAATACGTACGTGTCGCCTCAATCAGGCAAGACCGCAGGGCCACCTTCCTGGACGCGTCTGCCCCACACTAGGCGTCCGCGCGAGAAAGAGGGAGGAGCCCTGCTGCCAGCCAACGCGGCGCCAGGGGATGGAGGAAGCGGGGGTAAGGAGGGGAGCGCGCCGCTCGAGTCGCGCGCGAGGAGACGTCAAGGGGGGCAAGGGTTGTGACCTGTGTTCTCATAGGTGACATGTTTTGCATACCACATGGTATCAAAGGCAACCAAGTTTAATTGTAATTTCACGTTTGAAGTTTTAAGGAGCCCTGACGTCATGCGTGCATGCAACGTATGACGTCACGCACATCACTGTTTGCTTTTAAGACATAGGCCTTGTTTGGATCATGGGGTTAGAGCTAGTTTGGGTTAGTTGAAGGCTCAAATAACCCAAAAGTATCCAAACAGAGAGGGTTAGAGTGGGTTAGTTTTATCTAACCCAACTATCCCGATGAAGAGGTGCTTATTTGGGTTAGAGTGGGTTAGAAAATAACTCTAACTCTAACTGTGTTAGAGTATCCAAACAGAGCCATAGCAGCTAAATTTTGAAGTAGTACTATTTTTTGTTGGTAACGATCATGACACGTCTCGTGAGATCACTCTCACTGCTGTCACTAACCGGAGCGCTGTGCTGCTGGTGCTTTTATGGCCTGCCGGCCTTCGTCTCCGGTCCATGTGTGAACACCACCGACGCTATGTCTTAAAGGCGAACAGTGATGTGCGGGTACACGTAGCCATCGGCGACGAGCTGTCTGGTCCTGCATGCAATCAGAATCATGAGCTGGGACAAGATTTGCCTGCTCCCCAGGGTGCTCCCATCCGTGCTCCCGCATACGTGGCATGATTTGATTGAAACAAAATAAGTTCCGGTCCCACTTCTTAAAATCAAGGGGGGAGATGATTAGATTAGAAAGAAAAAGAAGAAAAAGACAGCCGTAGGATGGAGTGAGAACACGGATGGGAACATGGTGAGGAAGCAGGCAAGCCGGATCCCATGAACTGGTCCTGCGCGGGCCGGGCGCTCCGCTTCACTCCTAGATCATGAGCTGGAATGCGTGGTCTCGTCCTGCACATGTGGAAGTTACATGCATTATCAGTGCACGTTACTACGCCAAACAAATGTACTCTTCGCATGATTGTACTACCTTTGCTGTGAACTTGCCCGGGTTCTATAAAAAGCAGCCCTGCGGCGCCCAAACGCACACCAACCACTGTGCGCTTATCCACCAAACAGCAAACCAAATAATTTTAAGAGCAAGGGAGACATGGATCTGGCAACGGGCGCCATGGGCTCCCTGCTCAACAAGCTGGCGGAGCTCCTCACCGAGGAGTACAAGCTGCAGACCAGCGTCAGGGAAGGCGTCGAGTCTCTCCAGAAAGAAATGAAGAGCATGCAGGCTGCCCTCAGCAAGGTGGCCGAGGTGCCGCGGGACCAGCTCGACGACCAGGTCAAGCTTTGGGCAGGGGAGGTGAGGGAGCTCTCCTTTGCCATGGAGGACGTCGTCGACAAGTTCTTAGTGCGTGTCGATGACGGCTCTGAGCCCGCCGCTAAGTCAGACAAGCTCAAACGGCTCATGGAGAAGTTTACTGGCTTGTTCACTAAGGGGAAGGCTCGCCATGAGATCGCAGACGCGATCAAGGAGATCAATAAGCAAGTCCAAGATATTTCTAGTAGGCGTGGAAGGTATACCGTCGACAATATTGTCCCTAGGCCCCCTAACATGACTTCCATCGATCCTCGCCTTGGGGCTCTCTACACGGAAGTGACAGAGCTTGTTGGCATTGCCGGAACAAGGGATCAAGAGCTAATGAAGATGCTCTCGGAGGGGCATGGCATGTCCGAGAAAAAATTGAAGACTGTCTCTGTTGTTGGATTCGGAGGATTGGGTAAGACCACTCTTGTCAAAACAGTTTATGAAAAGATCAAGGGAGATTTCAATTGCAGTGCTTTTGTTTCTGTTGGTCGAAATGCGGAGGCAAAGAAGGTTTTCATGAACATCCTTCTTGACCGTAACATGAAGAAAATCCGTGATGATCTTGGCATGAACGAAAGTCAGTTCATCATGTTGGATGCGCCACCACTCATCAACCTACTCCGAGAAAGTCTCGCGGAGAAGAGGTACATACATGCCATGTCTTGCCCATCATTTTTAATGGTCGTTTCACAATAATGTGTATATTAATACCAATATTCCTTTCTGATCCCAGGCTCATCTGCACCTGGTTAAGAGAAAATTCAAAACAAATACAAAAAATCTGATTTTTTTTGCATGAAATATGATTTGGTGCGTGAGGTCCGCTCTAAATTTCAGCTCATTTGAACATATGAGTAGCTCTCAGCAAAAAAAAAGCTTCAGAACAATACATGAACACTAAACTGTTTCACAGACCCCAAGTTTGCCTTTTTCGCCGAAGAGCGACACAAATGTCCAAATGAGTTGAGATGGAGTGCAACTCATGCACCTAAGCATCTTCTATGCAAAAAAGAAATCAGTTTTTTTTGAATTTTTTAGTATTTGTTTTGAATTGACTTTCACTGAGGTACGAGATGAGCTCGGGGGCCAAATGGCCACACTATTCTGCATATTGTCCAACGAGCAGCTTTGATCGTTTATTTTTCATAAATATGAACCGAGTAATTGTATAAACAAATAGAAATAAACAATTTTTCATCACACATATAATAGCATAATGCCTACGGAATAATTTAAAATGTTCTTTTTATTAACTACTGTAGAAAATAAAGTATTTTCTAAGTAGTCATGTGAAAAGGCATTATATGAACCTTAGATAAAATCAAAGATTTGAATAGCGGGCTATAATTAACTCCACTATAGCGGTTTGAGTAGGGTGCCGGTAAATAAAATCCATGTACATTTGCCCGATATAGCTGATCTAGCTCAAGACCAACTTATATACTTTTGGGGCAAGTTCCTCAATGCAAAACCCGTTTAGCCAGCTATCCTACCAGAACCATGTTCCTCGTCTGTCGCCCACCGTTACCCTTACCGCTGCTCTGAAGATTTGTCTAAACTCCTTCGGGACAAAGACCTGAACTCCGACCGCAGCCCCGTCTAGTTTGTTTGCTGCAACCAAAGTCATTTGGCCTGCAACGCCACATTCATCCACCTTATATCGAGCACGCCCAAGCCACTTGCCCATTTCGGATGGCACACTACGTCCCATGCCGCTGCACACTTCCCTCCTCTGGCCTCCGGCTTGCCACACCATAGGAACCCCCTATAAATCCGTACGAGTGCCACAATTGTCTTCAGTGGGAGGTCCATAGCAAGCATTGAGTGTATGGGAATCGTGCGAGGGACGAATTGTACTAGGCACATAGCGAGCTGGCCCACCACTCCTTGGAACTGTGCCGCCTTTTGCTTCCTGGTGCCTGGTGGATAATGGAATGGAAGGCCGAGTTATTTAAATGGGAATGTTGCGCTGGCGCACCCAAGGGTCGTGCACACTTATTCCATTTCCTCCTGCGAGCATGAGATCGAAATGTCCCGCTATTTAAAACTTCGAGTTAAACACCGACCACATCAACTCCCGTCTATTTCTATCTCTCACGTCCTCCTCTCCCTACTTCCTTGAACCCTTACCCCTCCCCACTACCAGTTCCATCTATTTTCTCCTCCACCCGGGCCAGAAGAATGTATTCTTATGTCATATATACCTCTTACGCATGAGTTGTACCACTTTTACCACTTTAAACATACAATATTACAAATTACATGGTACTCCAAATTGAAATCCACCAACAAATGGCCATATGCCCGTTCTTGCAATACATCCTCTTTTGCATGAAAATATTGCAGATCGATCTTATCGTCATGGTAATACTAGAAAGTTTTTACCTAAATGTACTTTCATTGTGACATGATCGTTAATCCGTTAGTTGGTCCATCACTCCTTTATGTGGTTCGTTGCTTCTTTATCTCGTTGCATCTTAACTATTTTACATTGTTCCTTCTAGACTATTGTCTGATGTTCATAATGCTAGATTAGATTATCTTTAAATTGACCCATTGAGGCCTACCATGTGTACTTATGAATTACAATAATGAATGTGGCAATACTAGAAAATGTATAGCTAAATGTACTTGATTGAGACATAATCCTTAGTCCATCAATTAGTTCATCTTTTTTTTGTCCATTGCATCTTAACTATTTGAAAATGCTTCATCCAAAATCTTATCTCCCGTTCATAATGCTAGATTATCTACAATTGGCCCCTTTTAGGCTTGCCATGTTACATATGAATTATAATAACGATCTCTAAGTGGTATAGGTACCTCATTGTAATTGATGATATATGGGATGAGAAATTATGGACAACCATTAACTGGGCATTTTCTAAGGCTAATGGTTATGGTAGTCGGCTAATCACGACAACTCGTATAGACAGTGTATCCAAATTATGTTGCTCGTCTACTAATGATTCAGTTTATCAAATGGAACCTCTTAGTGATGATGATTCCAGAAGGCTCTTCCATAAACGTATATTTTCTCAACAGAGTGGATGTCCTCATGAGTTTGAAAAAGTGTCTAAAGATATATTGAGAAAATGTGGTGGTGTGCCATTGGCCATCATTACAATAGCTAGTATTTTGGCTAGTGATGAAAGAGCAAATTCACTGAATGAGTGGCACGTTTTGCTAGAGTCTATTGGTCGTGGACTTACTGAAAACCGTAGTGCCGAGGAGATGAGAAGGATACTATCGTTTAGCTATTACGACTTGCCTTCCTATCTGAAGACATGCTTATTATATCTAAGCATGTTTCCGGAAGATAGTGAGATCCTGAAAGATCAGTTGATATGGATGTGGATTGCCGAAAGCTTTGTCCAATGTGGAAAACCAAATACTAGTCTCTTTGAGGTTGGAGAAACTTACTTCAATGAGCTTGTGAACAGAAGCTTGATCCAGTCGGTATATGATCATGATTATGGCTCTGTATATGCTTGTCGCGTACACGATAGTATACTTGATCTAATTTGCTTCTTGTCAAGAGAAGAGAACTTTGTTACCATGGTGAGTGGTACTGGTGATACCATTTCTTCAGGGGGCATTGTCCGAAGATGGTCTCTCCAAAATGCTAGAAAAGAAGAAGGTCAAACAAGGCCTCTCAGGTCTGAGAGTATAGGACACGTGAGGTCCGTTGTTACATTTGCACCAGCTATTGATCTAATGCCACCACTCTCTAGCTTTGTTGTTTTGCGTGTATTAGATTTGGATTTGTATGGTTATGATGGTACTATGGAGGACCGTCTCAACCTTCAAGAGTTGGGGAGTTTACTTCACTTGAGGTACCTGCGACTATCCCAAGGACCATATGATGACAACTTGAAGTTGCCGGAAGAGATTGGAAAGTTGAAGTTTTTACAGGTGTTGATTTTGCCTGACTGTACAAGGCTGCCGTCGACTGTGATTAAGCTCACAAGATTGATGTGCCTACGGATTAATCGTTGGAGTCCTAATGATGAGAGGCTTCAGCTTCCAGATGGTGTTGGAAACCTGAGATCAATGGAAGTGTTGCCTAATATCAAGGTTGGCTCCATAAGCATTGTAAAAGAGTTGGGCAACATGCACAGACTGAGGGAGCTCAATATTCAGTTTGAGAGCTCAGAGCCTGTGGAAGCTTTTGTGGAGTCAGTACAGAAAATGCAAAAGATCCAGCGTGTAGAAATCAGTGCCAAGTGTGAGCGTGGAGTTTCAATGGATCTGTTGGGGGAAAGTTGGGTGCCCCCTGCAAGTCTCCGGGAGTTTATCATGGTCAAAGGCGTCAGATTATCTACGCTGCCGGCATGGAATCCATATCATCTATCACAACTCTCCAAATTACTAATAAGGGTAGGGGATGTGCGACAGGAGGATCTGGAATTCCTTGAAAGGTTACCGGCTCTTCGGATTCTCGGGTTAAAGAGCGACAACCAAAGGCCGCTAGTCGTTGGCGCCGAGGGGTTCCGCTGTTTGGAACAAGTCTTCTTGTGTTGTTTGGAACAAGTCTTCTTGTGTTCCAAATCACCAAGCCAAATACTGTTCCAGCCAGGAGCTATGCCCAAGGCTGAAGAAGTCGGTCTTGAGATCGGTTTGCGGGTGGCGAAAGACGAAGCAGCTGGCAGCGGTGGCGATTGGTTTGACCTCGGCATAGGGAACCTGCCATCCCTTCGGGACGTCACTGTCAGGTTATACCGTTCGGGAGTGACGGTCGGGGAGGCCAAGCAAGCGAAGGCTGCGCTGGAGAAGGCCCTCCGCGCCCATCCTAACCTCCCCACCATTGAAATCGACTTCGACAAGGACATACCAGAAGGTAGTACGTCATGGTTAAAACCCATGATGCATGTCGTTTCCGTTTCCTAGTGCCTTTTGCATGCATGCTTCTCGTTACTGAATCACTGACCGGCCTATCTTTCTTCCTTAGATGCTCGTGATGAGGATGTCTACACCAAGGGCGTTGACAGCAGCGTCGATGAAGAGTCGGAGTGAAGACCTGCAGGTTAGATACAGCTTGGTGTCCCGTTAAAATGAAATTCGTTTAAAGATTGCAAACTGTGTAGTGCAGATATATTTTCTTTCCCACACTTATTCATATATATACCTTCTGACACTACCTTTTTTTTAATAGTGTGCCATTGTTTATTGGATACGCACATCTGCAAAACATATGCGTATCGGCGGATGCAGCATCGACCAAAGACTTGTCACTCCGTGAGCTTATTTCTTGGCTCGGAGAGAAAGAAAAAAAAGGAGAAAAGTATATGAAAAATTACCAAAAAAAAATAGTACTCGTTCCCTACTAGTAGTAGAGTTTTTTCTAGGCTTAAGCAAAAAAAATTGGGGAGGGGAGTATATAAAAAAATGACTTTCATAGTTTAATGTGTGTGTTTATTGTTTCTCATTCAAGATCAACTTATTTTCTCCAACAAAAAATGAGTAAATATATTTACTACTATGCTTTTTAGTTTGCTTATTTATTTATAAAAATATCTTGTGTCCATTTTAGGGAAAAAAAAGATTGTGTTTACTTTCTAGTGTCTAGAGGCATGTTGGCCCAAGAAAAAAAATCCAGAAAATATATAGGTGCTTGGTTTTTTACAATTTGCTAGTTTTATTTTTGTTTTGGTGTCTGTCGGTTGGTTGATTTTGAGGGGTGAGGGAGGTGGGGGAACTCCGCCTGTGCTACTAATTTTGAGCTTAGGCTTAATATTATTCATAGCCGGTCCCAAGCCCGGAAAAAGGAGGAGGGCCGAACCTTATATGGCTTGAAAATTGTATGCAAAAATTCATGATTTTCTTAATATTGTCACCTTTTCCATCATGAAGTATTTTTTTTTGGTTGGCCAACTGGCGCGACACGCTCTGCCTCCGCATGGCCCCCGAGCACCCGACGACGGCGACAGCTGCCGGTGAGTGCTTTGCAGGTTTCCTGACTCTGATTCAATTCCTTCTATTGCACTGTTAGTTGAGTAAGCTAGGCCGATCTTGTGATGTGCAATTTTTTGTGCCAGTAGTTAATTGTTTGTGCTTGGAACGATCAGAAAAAGAGAGTGCAAAAGGACGCCTTGGAATTTTGATCTCACGCTCTCAAAAACTAGTTCAAAGTAATTCAAACTACTCCCTCCATTCCCTTATACAAGGCTACAAACTCAAATTACAGGTATCAAAGTAAAATTTAATGACTACTTTGCAATCCAACTTTTCTTTTCGTTAATCGGGCTCATTAATATGCTTGCATGCATGCAAGGAAGGAATGGGAAGAAAGTAGCACAATGTCATTATGACTACATGCATGCAAGTATTAAATAAGTTGCTAGTACAAGGAAACTTCATTAATTTTTGCCTCGATTACTGTTAGTGGCATTGTATAGATGCAAAATGTATTTTTCATAATGGCCTTGTATAAAGGAATGGAGGGAGTACTCAATTTATGTGCAGATAGGCAAACGGCTTCAGTTTGACACCAAATTAGCACGGCGTTCAGTTTAATTTGTCACACAAAATTTCATGGATTTTTTTCCTGACAAACATGTGAAAATAACTTTCTCAACAATCTGCCCCCATTGACTTGCCCCCTCCAGAAAGTAACTTTCAATGAGAAAAACAGAATTAGGAATTTCTGATAGGTTGTATGCTTTGTAAAAATAATTGGCAATATTTTCTATCTTTTCTGGATCGAAAATACTATTGTGAGCCGGAGCTCACAGGATCCCGGAATCGGTACCGCACGCCTATATCGAGATGCTCAACGGCGTCAGTGCGGGTCTAGCTCAATTTTTGGTTTCTGATTTTTTATTATGGCCGTTGGCCCACAGGTCGGGATGCGTTATGGTTACTCCGTCAGCAATCCTCGGCGCAGATCAGAAATACGCTCAGGAATTGAGCCGGTTCGGCTGAGATTCTGGACTAACGCCGCCCACTGCTTCATTCAATGTACCCAGCCGTTGGAGCTACCAATCTTCTTGAACACACTCCTCGTCTTCGTAATCCCCTTCATCCAGCCAGCCGCTCACCCAGATCTGTAGCTCCACCAGAACTCACTCCAGCCATTGCCAGCAGCTCCAACGCTTAGATGCCGTCCATATGAGAATCCAACGGCCCAGAAACCAGTATCACGGTAGCATCTAAGGCTTGGTAGCACCAGATATTCTCCCACCTAGCACCTCTGCCGTGCATAGCCAGCGGGCGGCCGTGTCTCAGTTACACCCCTGTCCACCCTCCCCAACCCGAAGAAGCACCTGTAATCTCGCCGGAGTGGATCCCCTGCTCGCGCTAAGCCGGGCACGCTCCTGCATGCTGCGCGGGCAAATTTGATAATTTTGACCTGTGGATGAACTCATTTCACAAAATGAACTGTCCCTAAAAAAATTTCACTTGACTGGCCTTTTTGTGTGACGCCCGACACGAAGGCGCCACACTACACTTGCAGCGCTTGACTGACAGGCGTTGCACGCCTAGCCAGCGTCGCATCCGGGTGATCCGAAAAATTATTAAGTCAATGTGCAGCGCCTAAGAGCTAGGCGCCACACTATACAGTGTAGCGCCTAGCTCCTAAGCGTTGCACTAGTGGTTGCTTCATTTTATAGTGCAATCAGTAGTGCAACGCCTAAGAGCTTGGCGCTATAGTGCAATCAGTAGTGCAACGCCTAGAAGCTAGGCGCTACACTGTATAGTGTGGCGCCTAGCTCTCAGGCGTTGCACACTGACTTAGTAATTTTTCGGCAGTTCGGGATGCGATGCCTGGCCAGGCGTATAGCGCCTGTTAGTCAGGCGTTGCACAGTGTAGTGTGGCGCCTTCGTGTCGGGCGCCACTCAAAAAGGTCAGCCGAGTAAAATTCTTTTACGGATAATTTATTTTGTGAAATGATTTCATTCAGAGGTTAAAATTGTCAAATTTACATGCTCCGCGTCTCCACCACCGCAAGTGTCCTACACATGAATCCGCTGTTGTTGTGTTTTGCAAGGGTGGATATGATCTGAATCCGTGTATGCGCATTTTATTTTAATTGTGCAAATCTCGAATTGTTCTGAATTGCAAAGTACAGATCACTCCTAGTATCCTAAGCTTTGTTTAGAGCAGAACACGGATCTGTTTCCTTTTAGCCTGTCAATACAAAAACCAGCGCATGCATATGCAGATTCGAGGCAGAACTACTTTGTCCAGAATACATTCCGTTCTTAATAGTTTTTGCTAGTGCATGCCTACGTACACATCAAGCATAGCATTTTGAATGTCTGATATCACTGGACATAGGGACCGCACGCTATGTGATACTCCCTCTGTAAACATTTATAAGAGCGTTTAGAAAGTGCAGTTCAAATTTCGTAACGCTACGCAAATTGTGTCGTTTCCCATTTTGCCCCTGCGCTCACTCACTCATTGCTCACTCGCTCCGCTGATTCCCCTCCCTCTCACCGCACTCTCTCCCCAAATCCCTAGCTCCCTCTCGCCGGCGCCGCTCTCCCTCACGCCGGCGCCGCTCCCTAGCTCGCCCGCGTCGGCGTCGCCCCTTCTCCCTTTCGCCTGCGCCGCCTTCTCCCTCTCGCTGGCGTCTCCTGCGCCACCTTCTCCCGCTCGAGGCAAAGTTGCCCTTTTTACCAAGGTCGAGGAGGAGCGGGAGGACAGCCTTGTCCTGCTCGACGACGGTGACGTATTTCTTCTGCTTGACGACGCCGGCAACGAACGCCGGCGCTCCTCGTCGCCCTCGACCTGCAAGGAGGAGCGCCTACCCCATGTTGGGCCGGAGATCTGCTGGAGCAAGGAGTGCGTGAAGAAGCCCCTGGAGCGGCAGAAGCAGGGGCGGGGGAGCGAGTCGGACGCCGGGGTCGTCCACGGCGTCGTCGAAGCAGAGCAGCGGTGGGTCCTCGTTCAGGCTGCGGCAGCTCCTCCATGCGCCCCGCCATCTTCCTCTGCTGCGTCGACGGTGGAGTGCGGCGAACTCTGTGTCTGCAGGTACTCTTCTTGCTTCTTGCTTCTGTATGGATGTATGGATGATTCGAGGAGTACTATTGTGAGAAGTGCATACAAGAATTGCTCTAGGGACTCACCGATGCTAGAGTGGTAGGCTTGCTGCTTTTACCCCAGAAATAATCATACTGTATCTAGAAGTAAAATGCCAAATAGGAATGCCAATGATGATGTGCTGCTTCTTTTCATAGTGTGCTTCTATTCATACTCAGTTTGTATCGGCAATTTTTGCAAGAACACATGTGCTATAGCAAATGCAGTGGAGCAGGTATACCCAACCAATCACCTGTCATTTGCTACTGCTATAACAAGTGCAGTCTTATCTATTGCTTCTATGAATCTTTTGTTCGAGAACAAATGATGAAATGTGGGCGTTTAGTTTATAAGAAAATGCCAGTGCGGCAAGACTCTCACAATGTATGCTTTACATTGCTCTGCTTATGACCATGAGCAGTCTGACCATGATCTTTTAATTTTGTCCAATTAATCTACCACTAGAACGAGTACTCTTTCATCAGCCTATTTATCTACTTCCACTAGAGGCATGTTTGTGTTATTTTTTCTAAGAGGTGCAGGAATAAAAGAAGTCTGACAACATACAATTAATAAAATTTCAGAAAATGTAATCATACAAAGCCCTTTCTTCTCCTCTGTCTCCTCTCCAACAAATTCAAAAACTTCATATAAATTTTCTGAAATCATACATAACCTTTCCACAACTTCATATAAAATTCAGGTAATGTAATCATAGAAAGCCTTTCTACAAATTCAGAAATTTCATATAAATTTCTGGGATAAATTCTGAAACTTCCTAAAATTCATATAAAATTCCTAAAATTCAGAAACTCATATCCCCTCCTCTCCTTTCCACCACAAACATCGAGTAAAAGACTTTCCATTACAAACATCGGGTACAAGACTTTCCACTACAAACATGGAGCACGGTATCTCTCCCTTTTCAATCCAAGCTTACTGGACATCTTGTTCTAGAATCTCCATGGCATTTTCATAAATTTCACGG